GGGAGCTCTGGAATCAAGGATGGACTGTGTTGTTGAAGAACCACTTCCATCTTGCGATTTCCAGAATTTGTGGTAAGAAGTCTGAATAGTTTGTGTGCTTCCTTCTGATTGTCAATGATTACCTTCAAGTAGTCTTTGGTTACTACTTGATTTGCTGAAGACACTGCCAGAGCTGCTCTGATGTCCATTTGGAGAATGGACATTTGTTTTTGTAGACTAACTGTAACATTTGCTATTTGCTCTCTGATTTTGTTAACCTCCTTGAGTTGAAGATAACTGTCAGATGCATATGTCTCCATCGTCTTGCTCACAGTGTTACTCAATAGAGATAAGATCTATAGAGTTTTATCCACTGATTTGCTTATCTCCTTGAGATTGGAGCAGTGTGTCTCTTCGGATTTCTCAATCAGTTTGTTGTACCTGGCTTCCATCTGCTCTATCTCTTGCCTAAAGGAGGCATGTTGAGATGCTAGGGCTGATTTAATCGGCCCTTGGACCTTCTTTGTCCAGATTTCCGGTACCTCATCCGGAAGAGTAGGAATGGAAGAGCTATGGAAATGGAAGTTGGTTACCTGATGAGAAGAGGGTGTTCTTTGGAAGAGTTTCATAGGAAGAGATTCAGCATCATCTTGTACATCTTCTTCATCATTGATCTTCAGAGTCCTTTCAAATTCTTCTTCTGCTTCTCCAAGTGTTAAATTTGATATATCCCTAGAGAGGGAGTCTCTTTCTTCAGCTTCATTCTGTTCTTCAAAAATGGCTACTGGAGATTTGGAGGCCTCCAGTTCTGCCATTTGAGTTTCCTTCTCAGCTTCTGCAGAACTTCTTTGGGCTTCTACAACTTGCTCTTCTTGAGCTTTATTTGTTTCTGGAGTTTTGGACATCTCCAGATTTTCTGCTGATTTCTCCGGGATCTCAGTTTCAGTAGGATTGGTGATCTCACAAGGATTTGTGAGAATCTCTAAAGCTTCAGAATGGAGAAGTTGCTGGAGTTCTTCATTTGATCCTTCCTGGTTCTGTTTTTGTGGTGTAGAGACTGCAGCTTTAGGTAGAACAGTTACAAAGGCAGATGAGGTTTCCGGAAATATTTGGAAATCCCCAGCTGTTGTTTCCAAGTTAGCCTATGCTCCAGAAGTGAGAACCACCTGATCTTCTGTGGTTTTTGAGAGGACTCGTTTGTAGACTGCAGGATCCTCATCATCCACTTCAAATTCTGAAATTGGTGAGGTGACCAAGTATTCCAGATGCAGGTCTTCTTGGTTCCTTTGCCATACCCAGTAGTCATCCAAGATTTCTTCACAGCTATGGTTGACTGGTAGTCCTAGGCATTTCTTGATAATCTTCTCATTCTTCAGTTGCTGGTCCCAACTCAGCAACTGTTCTGCTGAATTTCCAACTTTCCAAGCTCTCTAGTCATAGTAGAGCTGGCAGAATTGATTCTCAGCGTCATCAATTTGAGGTTGTGAGGAAGTTGGAGAATTCTGAACTTGAGGAATTTCTTCTTCAAGTTGTTGAGGACTCCGGTTGTGGGCAGAGGTTTCCTCAGTTGGTTCCTTCTCCTTCAACTCATCCGGATTGACATATCCAGATGTTGAGGGAAAGGTGATTTTCCTCTTATTTTTCCTTTGTAGTTCTCCTTGGTGAGAGAATTCTTCTTCTTCTTCAAGATTGATTGGAGCAAGTTTTTGTGGTGCTTCAACACTGTGAGAGGAAGACACCACTTGCTTTCTCTTTACTGACTTGTTTAGACTCATGATAAGGACATTGTCTGAAGAACTTTCCTCTGCAGTTGTGCTAGCACCAGCTCTGTTTTCCCCTTTGGAAGATAGATAGTATAGCCAATATCTGGCTTCATACTTCTTTCCTTCAGAAGCAGCACCCAAGGACTCCAAGATATGTCCAATGTACAGACCTTGACAAAGGTATTTCTGGTTGGGTTTTCCCAGATGCTTTGAGATGGAATTGAAGAAATGAGCAGCCCAATTTACCTTAGACTTGGTAATGAGGGCATTGATGATGAAGGCCCTCTCTTGGGTGATGTCATCAGCATGTCCTCCACTTCCACATTCAAGGCATGCGATGACCAGTTCAAGGACTAGCTTGTAGTCGTTGTTCAGATTAGTTTTCTTCGATGGGCCAGAGGGAGCTTGCCCAGAAATTCTAATAACGTTCCAATCCAGATTCTTGGCTTGAAGTCTCCCAATTTCAACTCCAGAATTGGGAAGGTGAAGCTTTTCTCCCAATTTCTTCTGCGAAAGCTTCACTTTTGTCCCTTCAACAGTGGAATTGATGACTTGAATCGTCCTTTGTGGGTCCTTCTTCGATTTGACAGTCTTGACCTTTCCATTCTTGTAGAATTCAAGAACTTTGTTCCCATACTTGAATCGAATCTCCATATGAAGGAATTCGGAGAGCTCTTGAGCAGCAATCATCTCCAGATAGGATTGATAGAACGTTGGTGAGGAGCACTTGGCTTCCAACTTTTGGAAATGGATAGTAGCGCCAACAATCTTCATTTTCTCAGAAATTTGAGTGAGAAGATCTGAAAAAATTAGGGTTCATGAGAATTTTATCAGAAGGTTCTCGTGAAGAAGACGATGAAAAATTTGAGTGGGCTGAGTGGGCAGTTGAGGTCTGATTATAGTGACGATTGGGTTTAATTTGGGCAATTTATGCGGCTAGTGGCGATTGGGTTTTTAACTGTTCCCAAGGCCACGTCCCCACCCACCATTTTGACAGACGTGGAAAATGAACTGCCACGTGTACCGCACTCAGTCTAATTGAATTAGACCAATTTTGTGAAGCAAATCGGAAAACTTGGCTTCACTTAGTGGTTTTGTGAAGATATCCGCCAGTTGTTCTTCAGTTGAGATATACTCAATCTTGATATCATTCTTTTCCACGTGATCTCTGATGAAGTGATGTTTGACATCAATGTGCTTAGTGCGAGAATGATGCACTGGATTTTGTGAGATGGCTATAGCACTTTGATTGTCACAAAAGATTGTCACTTCCTTTGTCTTGACTCCATAGTCCAGTAGTTGTTGCTTCAGCCATAGAATTTGAGCACAACAACTACCAGCAGCAATGTACTCTGCTTCTGCTGTTGATGTAGAAATGGAGTTTTGTTTCTTACTGAACCAAGAAACAAGATTTCCACCAATGAATTGACAAGTACCAGATGTATTTTTCCGGTCAACTTTGCATCTGGCAAAGTCAGAATTTGAGTATCCCACTAACTCAAATGAATTGCTCTTAGCATACCACAAACCCATGTTCTGAGTTCCTTTGAGGTATCTAAGAATTCTTTTAGCTGCTATCAGATGACTTTCCTTTGGCTTTGACTGGAATCTGGCACAAACACCAACTGCATATGAAATATCCGGACGGCTTGCAGTAAGGTAGAGTAGAGATCCAACAATTCCTCTGTAGAGAGTTTGATCTATTTCCTTTCCATCTACATCCATATCAAGCTTGGTGAATGTACTCATGGGGACAGAAACGGATGACTTCTGGTCAACTTTGAATTTCTTGATAAGATCCCTTGTGTACTTGGCTTGGTTGATGAGAGTCCCTTCACTTCTCTGTTTGATTTTAAGGCCAAGGAAGTAGTTGAGTTCCCCCATCATGCTCATCTCAAATTTTCCTTGCATGAGGGTTGAGAACTTGGTGCAGAGATCTTCCTTAGTTGAGCCAAATATGATGTCGTCCACATAGATTTGGACTAACAGGAGATCTTCTCCGTCTTGTAGTTTGAACAATGTCTTGTCAATGACTCCTTTGATAAATCCATTGTTTATAAAAAATTGAGACAATGTATCATACCAAGCTCTAGGAGCTTGTTTGAGTCCATACAGCGCCTTTTTGATTCTATACACTTGATCTCCCTTAGTGTGTAACTCAAATCCTGGAGGTTGTTCCACATAAACTTCTTCCTCGAGGTTTCCGTTGAGAAATGCGCTTTTGACATCCATTTGATAGACTTTGAAATCCTTATGAGCAGCAAAGGCTAGAAACAGCCTTATAGCTTCAAGTCTAGCAACTGGAGCGAAGGTTTCATCAAAATCTATACCTTCTTCTTGACAATATCTTTTGGCAACCAACCGGGCTTTGTTTCTGATAAAAATGCCGTTTACATCCATCTTGTTCCGGAAGACCCACTTTGTTCCAATGACATGTTGATGAGTAGGTCTGTTCCAGACGTCATTTCTGGAAAATTGGTTGAGTTCTTCTTGCATTGCATTGATCCAATCAGAATCAGCTAGAGCTTCTTCAATATTCTTTGGTTCCACTTGTGAGATGAAACAAGCAAGCATAGCTTCTAGATTCTGCTGAGCACTTCGTGTGCGAACGCCAGATTAAATATCTCCAATGATTTGTTGGGGAGGATGATCCCTAAACAAACGAAGATTGTGCTGATTAGGATTGACTGGTTGATCTAGTTCAGCTTCTGGTTGAAGAACAGAAGTTGGTGTTTCCGGATGGAGTGGAACTGGGTCGCCATTTCCGGAATTGTCGCCAATTGAGTGATCTGAAATATTGAAAGGTTGGCCAAGATTTCCGGTAGGCTCAGCACTGTTTGAATCAAGATTTCTCTCTGAAGTCTTCAGTGGTAGTCTTCTGAATGGAATGAACTCCGTAGGCTTCATTCTATCTCCTTCATTGACTTCTTCATCCTTGTCAGATAGATCCAGAACCTCATGATCATGCTTTGATGGCTTGTCAACCACATGTTTTTCATCAAAAGTAACATGTATTGACTCTTCAGTGATCATGGTTCTTTTGTTGAAAACTCTGAATGCCTTGCTCACCGTAGAGTATCCAAGGAAGATGGCTTCATCTGATTTCTCATCAAAAGTGTTCAGATGATTCTTCCCGTTGTTTAACACAAAGCACTTGCTCCCAAAAATATGGAAATATGATATATTAGGCTTTCTCCCGTTCCATAGTTCATAGGGAGTTTTGTTGTGCCTTTTATAAATCATACTCCTATTTTGAGTATAGCAAGCCGTGTTCACAGCTTCAGCCAAAAACCTCTTTGGTAAGGAAGCTTCTGCTAGCATTGTTCTCACTGCTTCCTTCAGGGTTCTGTTCCTTCTTTCCGCTACACCATTCTGTTGAGGCGTCCTTGTTGCGGATGTCTGATGAAGAATTCCGTTTTCTTCACACTAATGAATGATGATTTCATTCAGGAATTCTGTGCCTTTGTCAGATCTGATCTTCTGGATGGTCTGACTTGCTTGGTTTTGAATCAGCTTCATGCAGTTTATGAGCTTCCCTTGAGTTTCCTTCTTGCTGTTGAGAAAGATTGTCCACGTGTATCTTGAGTAATCATCAACTACCACCAGGACATATTTCTTTCCACTTAGACTTATTGGAGTAACAGGGCCAAATAAGTCCATGTGAACAAGACTTAGTATCCTTGTAGTTGAGGGTGCCGGTTTTGCCTTGAAAGTAGATTTGACTTGCTTTCCTTTCTGGCAAGCATTACAAATGCTTTCCTTCCTGAATACAGCTTTGGGAAGGCCTTTTACTAACCCTTCTTTGGATAGCTTGTTGAGAGTTTTGAAGTTGAGATGACTCAACCTCTTATGCCAAAGCCATAGAAGGTTAGTGTCACCTCTGCTGATTAGACATGCTTCCTTGACATCGTTCCATATCACTTCATAGATATTCCTGATTCTCTTCCCAGTGAGAATAATTTCATTTGTGGAGATGTTCTTGAGAAATGCCATGTCCTTGCAGAATTCCAAGGAGTAACCTTTATCACAAAACTGACTTATGCTAAGAAGGTTATAATTGAGTCCTTCAACATAAGATACAGCTTAGATGGTTAGTCCCTTGTACACCAGATTTCCTAGCCCTTTAGTAAGGCAAAAATCGTTGCTTCCTCCAAAAGTAACTCTTGGACCATCATAGGGAATTAGATTGTTCAAAAGGCTTGCATCACCCGTCATGTGTCTTGAGCAGCCACTGTCTAAGTACCAGACACCTGGGTACTTAGCGGCTTCCCGCATTAGGAGGAGGAAGATTTTGGTACCCATTTCAGTCTGGGTCCGGAATGGTTAATGGTGTGTGTCCCTACATCAAGTTTAAAGTTGCAGGGAATTTTTCTTGCAGCTATAAACTTGTTGGGATTATAATCATAGTTGTAGGCATAAAACTTCCTACGTGCAGGAGGTGCAATTTCCTGTTTCCTCCTAGCAAACCTAGGTTGATAAGACTTATAGTTTTGTCTAGGTTGTGCATAGTGTGACCTGTGTCGGTTATAAGCATACTTAGGTGGCACAAATAGTTTCTAAGGTGGAGGATGACTATATCTTGGCATAGTTCTCCACTCAGAATTTCTCGGAAAACTCCTATCTACCCCATAATGAGTATAGCCTCGTGTATATTGTGTAACACCCTAATCCGTCCAGGTCTGCAGCCCCATTTGGACTAAAGTATTTAACTTGGTAATCGTAAAAATTTAAAACTTTTCAAACACACTTTATTAATCCCAATAATATTTTTTAATACATATACAATACGGACTATTCAACAATATTGCGGAAGCGATTTTAATATTGACATATCATAAATTGTTTCAAAACTTGTCACATCCATCCCGACAATCTCGCCCCATCTGCCACCAGGATCACATTCTGCTTTCTGCTTACCTGCGTGTAGCAAATAAAACACACTACACGCTTAGCGGTAAAGCTGAGTAAGCATATCTAATGCGTCGAACATCCATATAAACTGAATCTAAATTCATAATCAAATCATTTGATATCATGCACACAATGTTCATTTCAGACATTCACAGTTTTGGTATTGTTTAGTTCATATCAATACATTTTATTCAATTCAGATACTATTTCAATAGTGCTCTTAAATTATTCTTAATCTAAGGCGAGATTATAATAATGCTCTTAGCTATTCTTAGTCTAAGGTCAGATCATAATAATGCTCTTAGCTATTCTTAGTCTAAGGCCAGATCATAATAATGCTCTTAGCTATTCTTAGTCTAAGGCTAGATCATAATTTCTATAACCAGATTCTTTTAAGGCAATTATTAAGCAGACACTTAAACTATCATTAGTTTAAGGCAATTGATTTCGGACACTTAACTGTAGTCAGTTAAGGCAATCAGACACTTAAACTATCACTAGTCGAAGGCAAATGATTCGGACACTTAACTGTAGCCAGTTAAGGCAACAACAATATAGCGATTGATCAACATTAGATCGGGCATTCCCAAACGAGTGATCCTCTAGTTTGGTCTATGAATCCCATTTATGCGTTTTTATCTAATTCATCAAATGTTCATGTTTTCATAAGCTTGTTCTAATACAAGATCTATTCTAGAGGTCTTCTAGATAGCCTTAACATCAATTAACTAATAGGTATATCTTAGAGTTCTTCTAGATACCGTTTAACAATACAAATCGTTTAATAATTATCAATATATTCATTACTCTCATGGCTGAATCATCAATAATCATTTTGATCAGTTAGTTCATTATTCATGATCATCCATAATAATCATTCATCATAATCATTAATCAACATAACAATTGATAACAAATAGCGGTCTAGTTTTGAGTGTTAACACTCTAACTTACCGTCATGCATCACATAATGTTTTATATGCCTAAAACATCATTTTTATTATACAAAATCATATTTGTATTGTTCATAATTAATTGTTATCAAAAATAGGATTTTAGAGCATATTTTCAGGAATATATTTTCGTAGCAGGATCTGGAATTGAGGAAAATAATTTAAAATAATCATTTAATTTATAAATATTGATTTATATAATTTTAAATAATCCATTAATTCATAATAATCGATTTTTACAATTTAAATAATCAATTAATTCATAATAATCGATTTTTACAATTTAAATAATCAATTAATTAATTTTAATCGATTTTAACAATATAAATAATCGATTAATTTATAAAAAATCGATTTTTACAATTTAAATAATCCATTAATTTATAGTAATCGATTTTTACAACATAAATAATCGATTAAATTGTACTGACTTCGAACCACTGATCTGAATAAAATTCTAATCGATTTTTAGTAAGTAAATAATCGATTTTCGGCCACTGTTCATTATTTTCTTCCTCGGGTCAGTTTTAACATTATCATTTTTAATCACCAAACTTCAATTTAATTATATAAAAATGTTCTCCAATGTTCACAGATCATTTTAGAGTCATTAATTCGTAATTTTAACAACAATTTCATGGTTTATGATTCTTGGTTCTTCAAACATGTCAAACACAAAACTCAACCAAACAACCGTTTATGAACGTAGAAACGATCTATACGAACATTCTAGTCACTATATATATCTACGGGCTTACCTCCAAGCTTATTGGAGGTTTTGAGAATTTTACGGCGAAACTTCCGGCGACGATAACTCCCAACTCCGGCAACTTTGGTGGCAACCAACAATATCAGACTGCTCTCCTCACTCTTATGAACACAATGGTACTAAAATTGTAAGTTTTGGTGAAGAATGAGAATGTTGATGATACTCTTATGTAGGGAAGGGAAGGAGAAGGAGACGCAGTTGTTGCTGAGTCATTGACGATTCACGCTAGGCTTAGTGCGCTGGGAGGCGCCGTTCGCACAGTATCCTGATTGGGACCAATTTTGGTTCCAGTCGGGATACACTTTTTGGTCCAACTTTCTCCGAATTAAAATCCGTTTGCACCGTTGCGATCAGACAGTCGAACTCTATCCAACGATATAATTTTTATATTCATTCGTTATACTTTTTCTGACACCACATTTTTGGGTGTTTGACTTTAACAGAGTCAAAATTGGTTTAATTGACCTTTCTCATAAAAGGTTCTCTCATTTAATTCACATCAATTATTCTCATGATTTATTTCAACAAATCATTTCAATAT